AGATCCCCCCCACGGGCCCCCCCTTCTCCAGAAACCACCCCACGGGACCCCCCCATGCAGTAGCCCCCTTCTCCAGATCCCCCCCACGGGCCCCCCCTTCTCCAGAAACCACCCCACGGGACCCCCCCATGCAGTAGCCCCCTTCTCCAGATCCCCCCCACGGGACCCCCCTTCTCCAGAAACGCACCCCATGGGACCCCCCCATGCAGTATCCCCCTTCTCCAGAGCCACCCTGCGGGGACCCCAGACTTCTCCAGACCCCCTGAGGCAGTACCCCCCCTTCTCCAGAGACACCCCACTGGACACCAGCACCCCCCTCCACAGGACCCCCAGCCTTCTCCAGACCCACCCCACAAGAATACCCCACACAGGATCCCCTTTTCTAGAACCACCCTGTGGGATCCCCCCACAGCCCTGCCCCATGAGAGCTCCCCCTTCTCCAGAGCTGCCACATGGTTCCCCACCCCACCCCCTGCTCCAGGCTACCCCCTGGGGTCCCCACACCCCTCCACCACCCCCCATGGGACCCTCTCACCCTGTGAGGTACTCCCACCCCTCTGCCAACCCATTCCACTTCTCCAGGTCTCTCCAGGCCCCTTCTTCATGCCTGCCCCATGGATCCTCAGCTCACCCCTTTGCACTTCACAGCCCCCAGCTCCCTCCCAGGCGCACTTAGCACAGGCCTGGCCAGCTGGGCCCAGGCCCATCGCCAAAGGGAGCCTACGACTGAGTAACTTGCCCTGAGGGGTTCCCCTTAGCTCCTCGGCCTGCATGGCCCTTCTCTCTAGCACTCCCAGATGCTCCCCTCCTGGCCCCAATTACAGCCTACGGAACTCACCGCCACTGGACAGCAGAGGGGTGACTAAAAGGTCTTTCCTCCCTGTTTTAAACAAGCTACCTTTCAACATTCTGAAACACCCCCCCGGTTCTCCTGCCAGGACAGAGGGAGAACAGCAGTGCCCGCTCTGCCTCTTCTAGCCCATTCATTGCCCAGGCCACCTTTATCAGCTCCCCACTTGTCTCTTCTCTAATGGAGACAGGCCCAAGCTTTTCAGTCTCTGCCCGGGGGCTTTCCAGCCCCACATCATTCTCGCTGCCTCTGCCCGAGCCCCTGGATTCCTGCTACGTCCTGGCTGAGATGGGGGCACTAGCACTGAGCACAGCATCCCAGAAGAGGCTTTTTCATCCTTGTGCATCCCAACTTTTTATTTGCTTGTTCACTGCTGCACATGGAGCAGAGCTTCCATTGACCAGGCACAAGAACCCCCAAGCCTTTTTCCTGGGTCATTACAGTTCATGTAGAGCCCTGTACAGCAAGTGAGCAGGTTGACTTATTCCTTCCAATGTCCATTTGTCTGTCAGCACCGAACGGCGTCTGCCAGGGGGCACCTGGTCTCCCCGCTGGGTCAGGCTCCTCTCAGTCTTCACCATCTTCAGTTAAATAACGTGGTGTCATTTGCACAGTGGCCACATTTCTCACTCACTAATAAATACACTAAACCCCCAGCCTCGGACCCAACCATGGGCCAGGAACTTCCCAAGAGAACAATTGTAGAGTTGGAAAGAGGGTGTGGGGAGCAAGGCAGGTGTAGAAAAGTCCGTGAGCCACACAGGCATCTCCATGTAGCCACAGCTGGACGGTGCTCGTGGCCTCAGGCCTTCCCCACCTTGGCCCTGCTGGATCTCCTAGGCCGGGGTTTCTGGCTCTGTCCCTGGCTGAGGACCTTTGGAAGTCCCGCTCCATGAGTGAGCTGCTCACAGAGTTCCAGCAGCCTAGTGCCCCCCCCGCCCCCCCAGTGCTTTGCAGGGGGGTTCCCCTTCAACTAGTCCGTACAGTCCCAGCACTTCAGCTGGCCCACTTTCCGCCCTAGCCAGAATGACATGGAAACCTTCCTGCATTAGCGTCTGCCGGTGGGTTTGCTCCGGTTTTAGCTCACTAACAACAGGGGCCTCCCAGAGCTGCTGGCATCATGGCTGGGGGCTGGAGCAGGCCTCACCCGCTCCCATGCCCTGATACGACCATTCAAGCTTTCAGAGAAAGTGGTGCAAGGGCCCTCTGGCCACTCCCAGACCAGTGGGGCCCAAGGACCAGCCCCAGCCTGGCCCACAGCCTCCCAGCAAACAGGGAGGTGAGTGAAGAAACCACTGGAAAGAAAAAGGTTTCTCTGCCTGGAACCAGATGGGTTCCATCCTTGTGCCCCCACGGCTGGGGGAGGCCGGGGCAGGCAGCTGCATTCGGGAAGCGCAGAAGGGGCCTGGTGCTGGCTGGGGTTATCACTAGCAGGGCAGGCAGGACTCCAGCCACCCCCCCAAGGCAAGTAGCAGCTTCCCCACCCACCCCATGGGCTGCAGATAGGTTTGGAGGGGCTCTGCTCTCCTGCCCCCCATTCCCTGGCAGGGCCTGTGCAGAGAGACCCACCCACTCTCCCACAGGCAGTGGTGCTGGGCACTGACATGGGACGGGTGCACAGCCACCTCAATCCCCTCCCCCATCAGCTAAAACACTGTCATTCACAGGTAGAGCCCTACCCAGGGGTCAGGCGCAGCGCCGCTCGGCCCTGCAGCAGCAGGCGGCACCCCCAGCCCAGCCCGGCCCAGCCTCAGTGCTGAGACCCCCCGAGCCTGAAATCTCAGCAGCAAGCAGGCTGCTCCCCCTAAGCAGAGGGGAGCCCAGGACCCTGCCTAGCCCCAGCTCAAGCCCTCTGGGTTCTGCCCTGTAGCACAGCCCTAGCCATGGTGTCCCTGCCCTCCCAGGAGACGGCTCCTACAGCCGGAAGGAGCTCCCCAAGCCAGGGCTAAGGTGCTCTCCCAGCCAGGCAGGGCCTGTGCCTCCCCCAGAGAGGCAAGCCTCACGCAGGACACCTCTGCAGCTGAGTGCAGGGCTGCAGGGGGTGCGCAGGCCCCAGAGGCCCCCAGGTGGAGTGGGGCCCTCCCTGCTGCAGGGCAGGTGGCCTAGCTGAGCCTGTCCCGGGAGCGGGGCCTGCTGCCCATCCCCACCCAGGCTTCAGCCAGGGGCTAGTCACTTGCTGGGCAGAGGCAGAGATCCATCCCCTGCCCCTCCATTTGCTACTGCCTTCCTGCCCACCCAGCACCGCCAGATCTGGCCTGGCGTGACTGATACAGCAGGGGCATGCTCCGGTCCCACTGCTGCACTGGCCTGAGGCAAAGTGAGGGGCTGCCCTTTGGGCCTCACCTTCCCTCTGCACTTCAGCAGCTCCCTCCCGGGGCTAGACAGCCTCCGGCCATGGAGCCTTCTAGCCCCGCTCCCCAGGGGCCAGCCCCCCGCCCAGGGGGAGGGGGACAGCTACAGCCCCCTGCTTCGGCAGCTCTCTCCGCACCTGGGGACTAAGCTGGAAGGGGAACAGAGATGCACTGTCCAGTGGTCTGTCTCTCCCCCCCAGGCAGTGAGACGGGGGCTGCAGCTGCTCCAGCCCCCCGCTGCAGCATGGCTGATGTCATGGCTTTCCAAGAATAACAGCAGGGCCCAGCTGGCTGCAGGCGCGGCTGTTCCCAGGGTCACAGCACCCTCTGCTGCTCACAATTGGGCACTGCAGGGGGCACCCAACCCGCTGGGTTCTCCAGGCAGCGCCTCCCTGCTTGGCTTCAGGCTGTGTTCCCCGGCGCAGGGGAGCTCGGCCCTTTGGAGGCTGGGGCTATGCTAGCAGGGCTGGTCAGCCCCTGCCCCTGCCCGTGTGACCAGGAGGGAGGCAGCAAGAACTGCCCTCCAGGGACCAGGGACCCTTCCAGACAGGCAGCTGTGCTTGTGCGGTCCCGGGGCTGATGGGTGGCTCTTTCCTGCAGCCAGACAAGGGCTCTGGGTCAACAGCCAGATGGGCCAGAAAGGAAAGGGTGCCGCCTACAGGCAGACGGGTGAGGGAGCCCTCTCTGCCCTTGGCTGCAACGGGGCTCCGAAGAACAGACCTAGGAGAAGGGCCCTGGGCCCTGTCCCAGCCCTGCGCAGCACCCACCCCTGCAGATCACCTGCTCCCCAGATCGCCCCTTGCACAGCATAGTAGGGAAGGGAGATGCAGAGAAGCTGGGCACCCCAGGGAGAAGGGGGAGTACAGAGAGCTGCTCAGGGAGGTGCTACCAGGTTCAGAGCCGCAGGCGGGGACACGCATGGGGGCTGTCTCCCCAGGGCCTGGCAAACCCCTCCCGCCTGGCCCCAGGCAGAGCTGAGCCCGTGCCCAGCCCCACTGAGACAGGGACGGGGAAGTCACTTCTAAGGCCAAGGGTTGGAGCCTCCCCGTCCCCAGCGAGGAGCTGTCAGTGCAGGCAGAGGGAGCCCAGCTGGGCAGCCAGTCCGGAGAGACAGGGCGGTGTGGCACTTCCCCATTAGCCATCCAGGAGCTTGAGGATGCTCTCACGCTCCTTCAGGGTCTTCCAGGCCTGGTCCTTCTCCTTCTTGGTGGGTGTGCGCTTCTTCTGGCGTGCCGCCATGATCTTGCGGAAGGCATCCATGACCTCATTGTCAGCCATGCGCACACGCTGCCGCAGAACCTGCCTGTGCAACTCATCCTTGGCCAGCCTGGGGAGAGAGGCAGAGCCGTCAGCTGCGGCCTAGCCCCCCCCCACCAGCACCTCCGGCCCCACACCCACCTGAGCAGCTCCTGCTTCTTGGCCCGGTTGTGAGCGCTGAGCGCCTTAAGTTCGGCCTGCCTCTTGCGCAGCTCCGCCAGGACCTCGTCCTCCAAGTCCTCGGGGGGGCGGTCCTCCGACTCCAGCAGGCCTTGGGCAATCAGCTCCTCTTTGAGCCGCCCCTCCAGGGACTTGGTGTGGGGGACGCTGCAAGAGAAGAGCGCTGCTGTGAGCCCCCGGCAGCCCAGCACCCCAGCTACCGCAGCAGCACAGCCTGCCAGCTCCTGCCCTCCCCTTGTTCCCGCTTCCCTCTGCCAAGGGGCAGGCAGGGCTGGCCCTCACTCCAGAAAGGAGGCAGTGAGAACTAACCCATCTCCCTGCCTGGATCTCACCCACAGGCTGGCCGCTTCCGAGTCCAACTCCGCAAGAGCACGAGCCCATTCCTCTCCCTTTGCTCTGGGGCTGCCTGCTAGGCACAGGAGAGCCCGGGCTCTAGTGCGCTGGATCTCAGAGGGGCCAGGAGAGTTCTGCTCAGGTGCGGAGCACACCAGGCTCTCTAACCCTTGAACTGCTCCCTGAGCAATTCCTCCACGCCTCTAGACACGAGAAGAGGAGTTTCTTTCTCTGCTTCTACTACAATTCTGTGAGGGGTCAGCAAGCATGTGGACAAGGGGGAAGCCAGTGGATCCAGTGTACTTAGATATTCAGAAAGCCTTTGACCAGGTCCCTCACCAAAGGCTCTTAAGCAAAGGAAGCTGTCATGGGAGAAGAGGGAAGGTTCTCTCATGGATCAGTAGCTGTTTAAAAGATAGGAAACAACAGGCAGGAATAAATGGTCAGTTTTCAGAATGGAGAGAGGTAAATAGTGGTGTCCACCAGGGGTCTCTACTGGGCCCAGTCCTATTCAACATATTCATAAATGATCTGGAAAAGGGGGCAAACAGTGAGGTGGCAACATTTGCAGATGATACAAAACTAGCCAAGATAGTTAAGTCCCATGCAGACCGCGAAGAGCTACAAAAGGATCTCTGAAAACTAGGTGACTGGGCAACAAAATGGCAGATGAAATTCAATGTTGATAAATGCAAAGTAATGCACATTGGAAAACAGAATCCCAACTATCCATATAAAATGATGGGGTCTAAATTAGCTGTTACTGCACAAGAGAGAGATCTTGGAGTCATTGTGGATAGTTCTCTGAAATCATCCACTCAATGTGCAGCGGCAGTCAAAAAAGCAAACAGAATGTTGGGAATGGCTAGACAACTATGCACACGCTAAATAAATAAAATTAAGAAAGGGATAGATAACACAGAAAATAGTGTATTGCCTCTATATAAATCCATGGTACGCACACACCTTGAATAATGTGTGCAGATGTGGTCACCCCATCTCAGAAAAGCTATATTGGAATTAGAAAAGGTTTAGAAAAGTGCAACAAAAATGATTAGGGGTATGGAACAACTTCCGTATGAGGAGAGATTAATAAGACTGGGACTTTTCAGCTTGAAAAAGAGACGACTAAGGGGGGATATGATAGAGGTCTATAAAATCATGACTGGTGTGGAGAAAGTAAATAAGAGTGTTATTTACTCCGTCTCATAACACAAGAACTAGGGGTTACCCAATGAAATTAACGGGCAGCAGGTTTAAAACAAACAAAAGGAAGTATTTCTTCACACAATGCACAGTCAACCTGTGGAACTCCTTTCCTGAGGAGGTTGTGAAGGCTAGGACTATAACAGGGTTTAAAAAAGAACTGGATAAATTCATGGAGGTTAAGTCCATTAATGGCTATTAGCCAGGACGGGTAAGGAAGGGTTTCCCTAGCCTCTGTTTGTCAGAGGGTGGAGATGGATGGCAGGAGAGAGATCACTTGATCATTGCCTGTTCTGTTCATTCCCTCTGGGGCACCTGGCATTGGCCACTGTCAGCAGACAGGATACTGGGCTGGATGGACCTTTGGTCTGACCCAGTCTGGTCGTTCGTAAGTTCTTCCCTTACAGCCCCGGCGCATCCACCCCAGGCCTGAGGGGCACCTCAGCGCATTCAGACCAGGCTCTTCCAGAAGCCGAGGAGGAATTTCCTGGGCAGAAGAACCTCTTGGCCAGGCTGCCAGCCCCCCTGGCTGGCCGCATAGAGCTGCTCACCTGAAGGGTTTGTTCTGGCTGCGGGGCGAAGTACCGGCACCGTCAGCTCCGGAGTCTTTGCCCGCCAGCTCTGGGATCGGGGAGTCCTCGATGGGCGAGATGATGTTCTCCTAGGAGAGGGAGGGTGAGTTCCAAGCTGCTGGGACCCACGCCCCACGGGATCTGGCAGCCAGGCTCACCCGGGAGCCTCACTTACCTCGACAAGTGCCTGCAGGAGGCGCTGCGTCAAGGGCCCAAAAGGGCAGCCGTCCTCAGGCTGCTCCTGCTGGGACTCTGACTTCTTCAGCAGGGCGTCCACATCTGGGAGGGAGGCGAGAAGGAAGCGGTGAGCAGAGCGGCAGTTGCAGCAGAACAGGGCCTAGCAGCCTCCGCTCTGGGACTCCCCAGCTGCCCCGTGCAAGGCTGGCATGTCCACCACTCCCCTGCACCAGGGCCTGGGACTCTCCAGCCATACGGGCGAGGCTGGCACACACCCTTACCCCCCCACTCCCCCCCCCACACACCCCTCAGTGCTGGGCATGGACGAACCCCCCCTCAAATATATGTCATCCAGTCCCTCCATTGTGGTGCTGCCCGGGGGCGGGGAGCAGAGGCACCTTTTGTGTCCAGCTCTGTTAACGGTCCCAGGATGCCTTTCTTCTTGTCAGCAGCAGCTGCTGCCCGGGCGCCATCCTTCTGCTCCTCCAGCAGATCCTCCTGGGCCCAGCGCTGAGAGTAATGCTTCCCCAGGGGTGGGATCTACAAAAGCAGGACAGCGAGAGCAGGAGCTCGGGGAGCTGGGCTCAGAGTCCCTGCAGCCCCTCTCCAACCAGAGACGTGGCAGAGCATGGCCTTATGCCTCCCTCTGCACCCCACGCTGACAAGCAGTGCCAGGCGTCTCAAGGTGCCAGCTGGCTGTGAGCAAGCCCTGCTGGGATCTCTGCAGAGAGCTGATGCAGGTCCTAGAAGGGCCACTCCTTGGGCACATGCCAAGAGCTTCCGAATTCCTGCCTGAGGAAGGGCACAGCATGGCAGTCCCAGCTGCTGCCCTGCCAAGGCCGGGGGGGGAGTGGGCTGGGCCAGGGGCTCTCCAGAGGCTGGCACTTGCACAGACAGGAGGAACTGCAGGGGACTCTGCCAGAGGCTGGCACTTGCACACATGGGCAGTGTCCCTTGCAGTTCGGGTCCCACCCCAGCACAGCACGCGCTCAGGTCACCGGCTTGACCAGCACAAGACGACCCAGCTGCCAGCTGCAGCCTACATGAAGAGTGTCGTGGACTCCATTAGTCACTCCTGCACCCATACGTGGCCAGAGGGGCAGCTGGGCCGGTGCCCGGGCGCTCTCGCTGGGTGTGCTGGGAGGGCAGCGGGTGAGTACCGGTCAGGGTCACGTGGCCAGAGGGGCAACTGGGCCGGTGCGGGCGCTCTCGCTGGGTGTGCTGGGAGGGCAGCGGGTGAGTACCGGTCAGGGTCACGTAGGCAGAGGGGCAGCTGGGCCGGTGCCCGGGCGCTCTCGCTGGGTGTGCTGGGAGGGCAGCGGGTGAGTACCGGTCAGGGTCACGTGGGGCAGCTGGGCCAGAAGACTCCTGCTTCTCGCTATGGTCTGGATTTTCATATACCTCTCTGCAGGCCTGTCCCACCCCTGACTCTGAACAGCGATTGGGTTAGTGTCCCACCGATCGGCCTGAAGTAGCAGGACCAGTGTGTCTGTCCGAATGAACGGGGGGATTGTTCAGCATTTGGGACAGGCACTCTTTGGAACATTGTTAAAGCAGGTATTTCGGCCCAGAAATTCGGCTTGGCCACCGATTTGGAAGTGTTCAGTATATTTCAGGCTCCATTTTCCCTGGAGTGGGCACAAACTGTCTCCAGGTGCCACGTCTTTAGCTGCATTAAGCAGCAGCAGATTAAGATGCATTTGCACTGATCGCTGTAATGCTGCAGTTTAACACTAAACCCCTTCGGAGGCCAGCGCATTTCCATCTTCCTAATTCAGCTGTCCACCCCGGTGCTGCACACGAGTCCTAGGTGACCTCGGGCATACGCAGAGCTGTGCTGAGTACTCCGCGATGCTGCACATTTCTATCGACGCTTAGAGATAAACCCCTGGTCAGGGACCTTCTTGTTGGCGCTGGTATCAGAGCTCGCTCAGGGCAGGGGTAAGGCTGCGCACGCAGCTTTCCCTCAGGCTCCCGACGTGGGGCTTGGCCAGGCCATTTTGAGGTGACTTTCTGCATTCCGGCCCCACGTCCAACACAACAGGGCTGAGCCGCAGTCACGATCTCCTCCCCCACACTGAATGTACTGCTCTGCTCTCCTCTCCGTTCCACGATGCCCACGAGGGCAGCTCTGCTGCTCCAGCCAGGCTCTCAGTCCGCGCTGCCCAGTGGGGGATCTGAGCGCTCACGGACTAACAACTGTCCCTGCCCGCCCCCTCCGCTGGGGAACGGGGGTTTCTCACTGAAAGCCAGGGCCTGGCCCAGCACAGGCAGGAGCTTTGGGCATGGCCCGCAGCATGCAGAGGTCTAGTCTCATTCAGATCCTGAGGCTGCAAGTGCCCCAGTGTGGGGCCGGCCTGCGAGGAGGCTGCTGTCTCCTGCTCCCTTGCAGCAGGCAGTTGGATTGTGTCTGAAAAGCAGAGGGAGGCCCAAGTGTTGGAGCCGGGGACAAGCTTTCAGATACCCAGGGCCTGAGCCACTTAGTGCCCTGGAAATGAAACCGAAATGGTGGCTGTGTTCCACGGCGAGCCCAGCCCCGCTCTGCTGCCTAGAACGGGGGCAAAACAGCACTGGCCTCACAGGAGTACAGCCTCCAGCCCAGCCTGCATTGCCCCAGCACAGACAAGCGGTAGCCACGGCCTCTATCACAGCCCCGTGGCACTGCCCGGATCCAGAGGGGAGGGAACGGCCCACAAACACAGGCCTTTGCTGCCTGCCTAGCCCCAGTGGAGTCGGCACCCGCCGCGAGGCACAGGACTGCAGAGACCAGACAGCAGGATAGTGTGGGGCTGGGAGGGGGCTGCGCTGAGGTTTTTACCTTGAAGTGCTCAGCCTCATCCTCCGGGGGTTTGAGCAGCTCCTCCAGGGTTCGCACCTCCTCACTGGTCAGGTCAGCACAGTAGGGCTCCACTGAGGCCCAGAACCTGCAGGGCAGAGCAAAGCAGGCACTCAGAGGGAAGGGGGCAGGTGGCCGCCCCAAGCCAGGAACAGAGCCACTGATTTGAGCTGTGGCTCCTCCTCTACCCAGGAGATGGACCCTGGGCCAGACCAGACTTCACTCTCACGCCCTCCAAGCTCCAACTCAGCTTTGACCCGGAGCATCAGGGAAATGAGTGTTCTCCTTGGGAACCCCTCAGTGTCCCTTTGCTCACTGCCCCACTCTCCCAGTGTCCCTTCACACACACCCCATACCTGTTCGGGGCATCGTTTTTGGGGATCCGAGGCATGTCAACTGGGTCGTCTGGAAATTCATATTCTTGGATCTTGGGCTGGAGATTCTTGGATTTGGGCCGCCCAGGGCCGGGCCCTGTGCCATGGCCACCCTTCCCCTCTAGTTTCTGCTTCTTGGGCTTGCCGTGTTTAACTGGGGTGCCCAGTTCATGCTCTTTGCCCAGCTTCAGGAACCGCCTGTCCCCCTTCTTGTCCTGCCAGTCTGTCAAAATCTGAAAGAGAATGGCCTGTGTCACACCAGACAGGCAGCTGGCTGCGCCCAGAACCAGGAGGGGAAAGGGAAGGGTCTAGTTCCATCCAGGACCCTTGCCCTCAGTGAGCCGTGTCTGCCCTCCCCTTTTCCCTAGCAACCATCATGCTGTCTTTCCCCTCAGGCCCGGTTCTCCCTGGCGGATGGCACCGCTCTACAGCTTGCAGGGAGCACTGAGGCACAACCCCCAAGCCGGGCTGTGCTGCGGCATTGTCTGCCACGGGAGGGAGGAACCAGCACTGGGGAGATGGCACATTGAACAAAACAGGGGCTAGCCACTCTACGGAGCAATTCCAGGCACAGAGAAAACAAGCCAACTGGCCTCCTGGTCAGAGCCAACCCACAGAGCAACAACCAGTGACCCAGCTGCAGCCGATACCGAAAGGCAAAGGTTCTTTGCCTTTTAGGCCAGATGGGGCCATTAGATCACGCAGTCTGACCTCCTGTACAGCACAGGGCCCTGGCCATTAACCATCACCCAGCCACCCCAATAACTTGTGACATTACTTGGGACTCTGTTATGCTGTTCACTCTGAAGAGTAATGACAACTCATCAAACCCCAACATGTTAACCATTTCACTGCTGGCTTGTTTGAAGCCCGCAGGTTCTACCCCCCTGCTGCTGGGTCAGCACTGCCACCGAGTGGCTCTTGGCATGGGCACCAAATGGGCTGTGTGAGAAGTGGGGGGAGCTTTGCAAATATGGGGTACCTTTTCCATCGGACATAGAAGGGACTTCCCTCCTGGGCCCAAACGGTCCCTAGCAAAGGGCCACGAAGCCAAGACTAATGGACTCCAGCTGCTGCCGAGCCGTGACCCTGGGTAGCCTGACCTCCCCATGCCCATCACCCAGGTACCCCAGGCCACCCCAAGGAACTAGGGAGCCCGACCTGCGTCTCTGCCTCCAGCACCCGCAGCCTGCGGCTGGCCGAGGACAGCAGCGTCTCCAGCTCCAGCTGCAGCGTGTCGAGCTCCTCGATGCCGATGCCATCGTCCTCGGAGCGGGCCAGCACGGCGGTGTAGCGTGGGCAGACCTTCAGATGATCCACCGACTTGAAGTCGTGGAACTGCAGCGGGCAGTCCTTGAGCTCGCTCATCGCCCAGCCAGGCGCTGGGGTTCGGGGGCGCCGGGATACGGGGGGTGCAGGACGCAGGGGGCACAGGACACGGGGGGGGGTTATGGGATACGGGGGAGCCGAGACACAGGGGGCGCAGGACGGACTGGGATACGGTGGGTGCGGGACGGGGTTGGGGGCAGTGGGATACGGGGGCACCAGGCTTGGGGGTGCAGGACGCGGGGGCGCCGGGCTGGGGGTGCGGGGCCCAGGGTGCGCTGGGGTTTGGGGGCACCGGGCTAGGCAGGGGAACGCAGGGGGCACTGGGATACGGGGGCACCGGGCTGCGG